CCATCTTCCAGGAAATAGTTTTCTATTTACAAAATTAATCATTGTAAAAAATTAACACTGCAGAAAATCAGAGGAAAGTCTGGAAAAAGGAAAAAACAGCGTAATCCCATCCTCCTTGGGTGAATAGGTCCTTTTATTCTCTCTGCTGTGTTGGGGGAGGTGGTGTTCTTTGGAAGATATGCAGGTAATTTTGATTCTGCCTTTCTCACTAAACATAATGTATCCACTCCCCATGAGTACTGAGAACTCCTTGCAGTGATAATTTTAGTGCTCTTAATCAAGAGATGCTGCTGGTCCTTAACCACTTCTTGATTGTCCCTATCCCATCCTCACCATCAATATTAATTACATTATTTGCTACCCGGTGATCTCTGCCTGGGTTTTGGATGACTCCCTCAGGAATGGAACCTTGATGTCAAGTTCCCAGTTCAGCTCCATGCTTCTTGCTACATACAGCCACATTGATTTCTACAGTTTAGGATAATTTATTCTTTCACTTAGCAACATGAGACTTGTCGCCAGCAACAGGTATAGTAGTTAAACAAGTGTTTGCTAATTTGGAGATAAAAGTTGGCATCTAACCCTTTGCCTCCCTTTGCCCCCTTAGCCAGGCTAGACAGTGAGCACCCGGTGTTCTCTGTGGGTCTTTGAGCCAGGTGTGAGGTCATTGAGGCAGGCAGCCTGGGTTGGAGCCCTGCTTCTCTCTGCACCAGCCACATGACTGTGTGTATGCCTCAGTTTCCTCATCTAGAAGAGGGGTGACAACAGATGTCAGTTTCTATGTCATTGTGCAAACTAGACAGGGTAGTACAGTGCCTGACAGATCTAGCCTCGGTGGCTATGAAAAAGGACACAGGCCTGTGAAGAGATGTTAGATGCTGTTTGCCGTTGGCTGTCTGTTGTATTGACTTATGAGTAATTCTTTTTTTAAATTATTTTTTAAGGTGCTGGAACCCAGGGCCTGTGCATGCTAGGCCAGCGCTCTGCCACTGAGCCATGTCCCCAGCCTTGAGCAATTCTTGATATAGGATATTTTAATTCTTGAATGTAACTCAAGAAACAAAACTTGGGCATCTGTAGGAGAAAGAGTCCTGACCTTACTGCTATAAGGCATGTTTTGCTTCTATTTGGACCAAGGTGGCATCACTCTGCTTCTTACAAGCTCAGTGCCTGAATTCCCACCTCATGCTTCTGATCCGGGAGGGCTGCGCTGGACTCAGGTCTCCCTGTCACTAACAGGCCTTTGGATGACTCCAATGCCCAGTCCGGTCTCAAGGACAAGGCTGATGGTGAACTCGGCAGGACAGTGAGACACCCGGAGCCTTGTGTCCTTATTACTCCAGGTACAGCTGCCACCATGAACTGTCCACATCTTCCTAGGACTCATGGTAGATTTGGAAGTGACCTCTGACCTCTCCAGCCCCATCTTGTGGGAGCCAGGAGGTCCAATCAGAACAATCTACTGAGACACAGATGAAGTCTCCAGGAAACTGACCCCAGAGCTGATTCTGCCTTGAAACTCCTCTGTTTCTCCTCCTCTTCTTGATAAGCTCCTATTTCTGTGAAAATCAGTTTGCACAGGGCTTCGTGCTGCCCCCAAAGGATGATAGAAACCCATCCTTACTTTGACCTGCACAGATAGAATGGCTTTCCCCACCCCCTCCATGGCCTCTCCAGCTGGCTGGCATGTCTGTAACAGGGAAGCTGAGGAAAGTTGTCTTCAGGGGCCCAGCACCCCAGCTCACCTGAGACTGGCAATTCCTCCTGGCCTTACCTATCCCTGGTCTGTTCCCACAAATTCTACCATCAGGGCATCAGGGAGGGATAGCATTTGGAATAACAAAACAAGTCCATTGTGCTTGTACCAAACATGTACCGATGATTTTTCTTATCATTATCCCTTAAGCAATACAGAATAACAACCGTTTGAAAAGCATTTACACCATATTAGGTGTTCCAAGTCATCCAGCTGATTTGAAGCGCACGGGAGGATGTGCGTAGGTTCTTTGCAAATGCTGTGCCATTTTATTTAATGGGCTGGTATGTTCCTGGACTTTGGTGTCCCCAGGGTCTTGGAGCCAATCCCCTGTGGATACTGGTGGGTGACTATCCACCACTGGAGCCACCTGATCCCATGTCCTCATCCATGGGACACACATGATACATATCCTCCCCAGCCAACTCTGAGAACTCACCTGCCACACTGATATCCATCTATCCCACCATAATCCCCAATTTGAAGACAGACATTTACAGGGAACTTTGCTCAAGGCTCTTGACAGTGGTGGGAGGGAGGCGTGGTCAGCAAAGAAACAATAACAGTAAAAGAACAAACTCCCCAGTGCTTCTGCACAGAGAAAGACGTTCTAGAAGGTGAATACCCAAGACCGCCACGCACCACAGGAAGCCCGTCATTACTCCGACAGGAAGCAAGATGACAGCTCAGGGAGTTCTGACAGTGAAAGAAGGAAAGGGAGTTCTGTGAATGTTCACTTCAAAACTGGCCTCTTGGCCAAAGGTTCCAACCATAGCTTGCCTTTTTAGAGAGGAAATAAAAAGCCTGACATACTTTCGAGGATCTTTCAAGTAGCAGAGTGAAAAGAAGGCTTTTCGCAGGGACTTAAGGGGAACAGGGACCCTGTGCTGGTGCTTTGGGTGGCTTTTCCCATGGAGACCCCACACCTCACTGAGAGCTCAGAAACTGTACAGACTGTAGGAAAGGGGCTCAGGTCCCATGAAAATTCACCTGGGACACGTGGCATTTAGAATGATCCCTTCAAGGTAGAACTGTTCACTGAAAAAATGTTCTATTTTTTGTCTGCTGGAAAAACACACCTCGATAAGGCTATAAATGATTTTAATACTCAAGTGGTGAATCCCAGGAGCTGAGAAAACAATTCAACAGGGGTCCTCAGTCTTCAGTGTAAGCACCTAGTGAGAATCCCTAGACCCTTAAAGGTAGCCTGGGAAAAGGACAGGGAGGAGCCCCTTCCTCCAGGAAGCCCACCCTGTACCCTGTACCCTATCAGTGCAGGGCCACAGTAAGCAGCCTATGGAGCCTGTGGCTCTGGAGTGCCCGGTACTCCCTCAGGCCATGTGTGACATTAGAGCTGATACAGCCCTAATGTGTCTTGGGGCCAGCTGCTCCTAGAACCCAGAGGTCACCCAGAATAAAAGCTGCTCCAAAAAGGCAAATATACTGCATATCAGAGGTCAAAAGCAATGTCAAAGGAGGTGCCATGAAAACAGAAGCATCTGATGCTCTAAATTTTCATGAGAATTCACTGGGACAGGGTGGCAGGCCTCCTCAGCCAGCCTGGCCCAGGTGACCACAGTCACATCCCCCCACCCAGCACCAGGAAAACACCGTGCTGGCCACGGCACCTCGGCAGTCCACTCCTCTTCCACGGACGAGTTTATACTGGAAACAATCCGATGAACTGAACAGCAGGGGTGCGCTTACATCTGCAGTCTTCATTTATTATTGAAAACCAAGAGCCAGCACCAACCTTTGCCAACCTCCTGGGCCTCTTTCTCTGTCGAGGCGTACTATCACAGCACTCAGAGACCCTGGCCCCTCTGTCTCTCTAGTCTCTTCCTCTCTCTCTCTCTCTCTCTCACAGGAAAGGGATTTACATCACAACCGCATTCCACAGAAGATGATTCAACTCAGCTCTGCAATTTCAGGAGGGTTACAAACCCCGTTAGCCCAGGCAGCTGCAGTGAGCTCCAGACACCACCATTCTGGATGTGCCTCCTACAGTTCAAACACTGGAGCTCATTCCTCATTCAAGTCAGGCTCCCACTGGTCAACGAAAATTTAAATACATCTCTCAGCAAATGACCTGAGATACTTGGAAGAAGTGAACACACCTTCTCCATGCTACCTGGCTCCCTCTCACCCAACAGGGTCCCTTCCCCATGGATTTCCTTTACCCCTTAACCATCTTGAGAAACGCTAGAAAGATCAAGAGCAAAGTCAGCTGGACAAGCATCACCGAGCGCTTAGGCTAACGGACAGAGGTGGCTTCAAGTGGCCAGCTCTCCAGGCTAGGATGTGTCTTCTTTACAGAACAGATATGTGTCTGGGTGGCCCAGTGGCAGGACTACCATTGACTGGCTGGTCCCGGCCATCCACTACCTCCACCTGCATGTGAATTTCTGATGCTAGTGAGGCAGAGCTCGGGATTAACACAGCAATGCTTGTCCAAGAGTGGCAAACCCCCAACCAGGATCATATGTGCCTCCCAAATCTTTAAAAACTGATCTCAATCAACACTCTAATTCTTCAAAATTCCAAAGAGTAACACATTTCTTTGTACAACAAGATTGAAAGCAACACATGAACCTGCAAAGACACTCAGATGGGCCTGGGATTTGAACACCTCACACAATACCGACGTGCAAACCACAGGTGACAATCACAGGGCATGAGCTCTCGCACCCAATGGGGGTCTGTTAGTGACAGAAAGAATCCACTTTTTAGGTACATTTGAGAGCTGCTTTTCAAGGAATCTCAACATCTTCCAGGCCTCTATCCCTCAGGCCACCATCCAGTAAGTAACTGCAGATCAACCAATACTTAGCCACCAGTTACAGTCCTCGTGCCAGCAAATGTCACACAAAGGCATACCAACTTGCCCTTAGGACACCAGAGTGGGCAATGCCTCCCCTTGGTGTCTACTTATAGCCACAACTAAGCCATCCACATATCTGCACGTGCCCCATTATCAAGGCAAACACATCTCTTCTGTCTACCTTCTACTTCAAGATCAATGGCTAAGTTCCACATACATTTTCTTCTTCCAAAGAATTACAGCCAGAGGCTCAAAGACACCCCAAACACGAGGGCCACAGGAGTAGCATCCATGCAAACACAAGTCCACAGTGGCCTCCTATGCAGCCCCAGACCTGTCCTGTGGCCATGCCACCATGACCATGGCCCAGGTGAGAGTCGGCGCTCTCGCCAAGCACAGAAACACAAACACCTGTGTACTTACCTCAATCAAGAAGTCCCCAGTCCTTAGTCCGGCTTGCCATGCCACCCCGCCTTCATCCACGGACTCCAGGTACTGCAGGGCTGGGAATGCAGGCGTTGGCGTGAATTCTTCAATGGGGGTGTCAGCTGGGAAGACAAGGAGAATCTTGTTACGAGCCTGGGAGATTTTTCCAAGTTAGTTGTCCTACCTCCTCACAGGACCCTGGGAGGAAGAGGGGTCCCTGCAGCTCCCGCTGGACTCAGTGGTCTGGCCAGCTCTCCCCAGGGATGGGCTGGAGACTCAATGCTAGCGACCAATGCTAATGCAAGCCACTAGTGACTGCCAGCTGTGTGCTGGTGCCACCATTGTCATGCCTCTGGGCCTCTCTGTTGAAACCACGGAATCACGTGCTCTGTGGCACAGGTCTACATGACTGTCATTTTCTTTAAGAGCATCAGTGACTAAACATTTTCAGTTCTAAAATTGGAAAAGTTCCTCCCATACCACACAGAGCTGGAGAAACACCACACTGAACCGCTTGCAGATTTCACATCTATGTAGACTTGTGCCCCGGGGGGATTCAACTTGGAAATCAGACACAACAGAATGCTGGTCCCCTGGTGGCCTCAGAGTTGGAACCTGCTCTGAACTCTGTCTGTGAGGACCCTGCTTTTGTGACCACCTTGTGCCCAGTGTGTGAGGGAGGGCTAGACTTCTGCCTCTCGGTAGAGCAAGGCTTAGCTTCTGGGGCCCACACGGTTGCCAAGTGCAACTCCATGGCAAGAGCTGGACTTTCTTGGTAGTCATGAGGGCTGAGGGTGGGTGGGTGGAAAGGTGAAGCTGCCTGGGTGGGGAGGGGAGCACACAGAGAGGCATGGACACCCACCCGGGACAGACTCAGCTCCCCTCTTTCTCTGGACAGATCACTGTGGGCTGCCCAATCCTATGGCTGGTGGGCATGCCAGCCAGGGAAGGAGGCCTCCATGGCACAGGTGTGAGACCCTGGCAGGCACAGTAGCTTCCAGATGTAACTTCCACACGACGGACCCCCCCACCCACAGTGGGCCGAAGTCCCCTCTCATGGGGGCGATGCCATTTTGTTTTAGTTTGGAAGGGAAGCCCTCATGCTAAGGGCGGGCAGTGGGCACACCGCCACAGACTGCACCCTGGAGCCTCCCACCACAGGCCACGGGATGTGACCTGTGCTCCCTACCAGCTGGGCCCACAGCCACCTTTCCTTTGCAAAGTCACCTTAGAGGCGAACACATGGACGCATGCTGCCCTTGGAGCTGAAGCCCATTCCCAGAAAGGGGCAGTCTCAGTACCTAAAACTTGGGGCTGGGGAATTCTGGGTGTCTGAGACCAGGAGCTCTGAATGCTGCCACACAAGGTGGCCGGACTACAGCATAAGACACTGATTACCCCCAAGATTAAAAAAAAAAAAAAAAGAGGTGGGGGAGTGAAGGGGGTAGAGAGAGAGAGAGAGAGCGAGCCCGTTCAGAACAATATTGTGGTTAGAAAATTTAAAATATGCCGAAAGGAAGCCCCAGTGTTTTCTAAGCAAGGGAAGATGTTAAAGAGCACGGTTGTCTAGCAACCGAGTGTGCCCCCAGGAAAAAGCTTATTTAACATTTATCTCCAAGCTGGGGAAGGTTCTTCATACAGGCGTGTACACACACACACACACACACGCACACGCACACACACGCGTGAACATACCCTGCTCTTCTTACCTTTCGCCCCTCGGAGCACAAATCCAAAGCCCTCATTGTCTTTCTTCTGCAGGACCACAGTCTTGTCCTCAATCACACAGTCACTGTAGAGAGAATTCCGGGGATAGCGACCATTATTGTAACCCGTCATCATCACGGTGGCAGCTCCTCCACCGGGTACGCTCATCCTCACAACCAATTAATCACCCAGCTCGCCGGATCCAGGCAGCATGGAGGAGCCTGGGCGGCAGTGAGGTGCAGGAGGAGCTGGGCGGGGGGCGGGGGGGGGGCGGCTAGCGGGATGGGCGAGCAGGGCACAATGGGATGTGGAGGGGGGCGGGCGGCACCGGAGCCAGATGGGGGACAGAGTCGTGCATGCTGGAGAGGCTGCTGGCCCGTCTGCCGGGGAGGAGCGCGGGGCTGGCTCAAGGCACCCGGGGACTGGCCAGGACGCCACCGCCCAGAGCAAAGAAAGTAAGTGGCCGGGTGGCGGCGGCGGCCGCAGTGGCAGTGGCAGTGGAGTGGTGAAGAAGCTGCCCCGGCCTGCCTCGGCCAGACGCATCGTCCAGGAAGCGAATGAAATCAGCCGGAGGAGAAATGAGACGGCAGCTTTGTTTTTCTTTCTCTTGAAGGGGCTTGAAAGGAAAATCGGATCCTCTTTGCTGGGTGCACGAGCCAGGCCAGCGGCGGCGGCACACAGACGCAGGGACCCGTGCGTGCGTGTTGCTCCAGTGCCCCTCCCTCTCTGCCCTAGGGAATGTGGTGTGCGGCTCCCCCCACAGTCATCTGATGTGCCCACAGTGCGACCGACCGCGTGGCTGCCTGGGCGTCATCCCGCAGAGGAGCGGCAGGTGGGGAGGGGGAGCGGTCAGCTAGATGCCTCCCATGGTGGCCACAGCAGGGGACTTCTGAGGCCATTGGGGCCGGGGGTGGGGGTGGGTGGGGGGTGGGGGGGGCGGTGCTGCCGAAGGAGTCAGCTCATTTCAGCTACAGCAGAGCCCTGCCCTCAGTGGCTATCTGCTGAGAAGGACGAATTGCTGGGGACAGGGAGGGTGGCTGTGTCTTCCCTGCCTCCACAAGGAGTACCTGGAGCCACACTGTTGGTCCCTTGTCATGACATTTTTCTCTTTTTTCAAGGAAAGAACCCAAAAAGCCCCAACTTTGCTTCACCTGCCATAGCCCCCTCTCTCTTATGCTAGTGGCACTCTATCCTTGGAGCATGCACAGGTGTGCAGGACAGAAGTGGGTTGCCTGATGGCCTGGGGACTGGCCAACTGTCACCCTCCCCAGCCTTCTGGGTGGCCGCTGAGGGACCTGAGACAAGGCTGTCTGCATCCTATTGGGACTCAGCAGCTGCCCGGAAGTAAGTCAGGAGCTGGGAAGGCACTGCCCAGGGAGGCAAAAGGCACGGGAGACGACTTGGGGCATGGGGCTTTCTTGCTTTAGGGCCCTTCTAGGTTGAGAGCCTTCATGGTTGAGGAGACAAGCCACTAGGACCAGAGGGGAAGACAGGGCACCAGAGTCCCCTGAGTCAAAGAGGGAGGCCTTGGGTCAGTGGGAGGTGACAGGTTCTGACATGCGTAAGGATAAGCTGCATCTGGCCCTAAACCGCCTGGCCTCAGGAAGGACATGGCCCTGTGTTCAGCCACAGCAAACTTGGACAGGATGCCCTGGGAGCAGGAGGGACAGTGGCGACATTTGTGACTGGCTTAGCATATCCTGGACAGGGGACAGGCAGCAGCCCCTCAATGTTCCCACTTCACAGGTGAGGAAGGTGAGGTTTGCAATGATGAGGGGGGTGCAGCTGGAGAATGTACCACATCAGCCATATCAGAGGGTCTCGGGAAGGGCCGTGTTCCAGGAGTGGGCTGGTGGGGCAGTGACACTTGACAGGACAGACCACAGCAGTCTAGGATAAAGCAGTCAAGGGAGGGGGGTCTGAGAAGGTGGTGGGAGGAAAATTCAGCCCCTGAGTCTTGCTCTGCCTCCTGAGCTATCTTGCCAAGTATAGGGAGCCCAGTTCTGGGAGCTCAGCCATACTTGGTGGCTCAGGGCCACCAAATAAGGGCTGAGGATCTAGGCTACTGGAGCCCCCAGGGGTTGTAGTAAGTGACAGGTTCTCTGATCCTCGCTTCCCACACACTGACAGGCAGGGACGACAGTCCATGGTGTCTTGGGGTTGTGGGTTTGACATCACCATGTATCCATAAAGGTGTGGTTTTCGTGGAAAAGCTCCAGGGAGCTCCTTTTAACTGTCCTCAGTAACAGGAGCAGGTCTGGCAGGCAGCCAGGCCACAACTACAGGAAGGAGGAGGAGAGAGGCTGGGGGCAGGGAAGGGGCTCTACTGCCATGGGCTCAGGGGCCCTCAAAACACCCTGGTGTGTGGTCCCTGTGCCAGGCCTCTCAAGCTTTCTGTCTCCACTGCCCGTCTCCCTAACGGGAATACAGACTCCTGTCTCTTATGTGAAACCTGCTCCGGTCACCTTCGTCCTCAAGTCTCCCAAAGGGGAGTCAGCCTGCCCTGGCTTCGTGGCTCCCTTGTGGCCAGGCAGTGTGTGCCTGGCTTATGTGCCTTCTTCTCTGTGAAGGGCACTTTAAAGACCCCATCACCAGGACGAGGGCCTCTGCTCAGCATTCTTGTATGCCTTCTTCCCACAGGAGTAGTGCCAAGGGCAGTGGTCCCCTGAAACTCTGGAGGGTGAGACCCCACCTGAGGGTCCTGAACCCACTGCCCTGTACATTGCCCTGTGGACACAGGTGAGCAGCAGGGCCTGCCTTGGCCTGGCTCAGGGCTGAACCTGTTGTGTACTGCCTGCATACATTCCAACAGCTGGCCAGAGCTGCCCGGAGGACCAGACGGTACCCAGACCCCCCCATTTCAACAGTAGCCCGTGCCATTTCCTGCCAGCTGCGCCTCCCCTCACCATCTTCAGACCAGGGATGCTCTCTCCTTCTGACCACACATGGGAAGGGGACATCACAGAACTTGGTCCAGGTCCAGTTCTGCCTTGACCTGAAGGTCCCCCTGACCTTCTGCACTCAGACCCTGCCTTACAAAATGAGAATAACAACCACGGGCCTCAGAAAGTGTGGAGTGGTCCCCCTGGCCACCCCTGGTGTGCAGTGCATGGAGGTAACACCGGTGATTGCACAAAGAAACTCCATTGCTCATGCTCTCCTCCCTCTTTCCTTTCCACCACCCAGAACAGTCCTCTCCTGTTCCTGGCCCTCCAGCCCCCTGGCCCTCCAGGTCCCCTCTCTGACACTTGTCATTGCAGCCACCCTGCCCCATGCTCAGATGGCCCCAACCTGTGTGTGTGGTGGTCTCTGATACTAGGAAGGGTGGTGTCTAAGTCCTCTTTCCTGCGTCACTGCAGGATCTCACCATGACACCATCTCAAGTAATTCACAGAAAGACCTTGGACTTGAACCTTGACTCAGTTACCAGCTTGGCTACTCAGAGACTCAGTTTCCTCTGCAGGAGGAGTGAAGATCTAGAGGTGGGAGTGGGGTCACAGGTGTCCCGCTGAGGGCAGCCCAGCACTGAGGTCATGTTTGTTAGCTTCCCCACATGTCCTCTTGTGCTGTGACCCAGGAAGCAAATGTCCCCTGATCTCCAGGGACTTGAGCTCATGAGGGGCTGTGACCTCATCTTGCACACCACCCCAAATGCCCATAGCACTCTACATAGCCAGAGCTCAAGGCTGGGGTGTTGCATACCGAAGAGAGGAGCTGATGGGAGCAGGGAAGGATAGCACAGGGTCCAGGTGAGAAAGGCTCCTGGTGACCCTGGAACACAGGGCAACCTGGGGCAGGCGCAGCTCGGCACTGTAAAATGCCTGCTGTATGCAGTTCGCTCAGTCAGGAAGGCAGAGAGGCATGGGGAAAGGCAGTCCCAGCCCCCTAGAGACTTACAATGGTTCTGGCAGCACACTGGAAGCAGCCAGACTGGACCCAGGAGGGCGTCCTGCAAAGCTAGAGCCCCAGTCTAGATCTGTCTGAAGCATTCCCATCCCCATGGAATCAGACGGGGAAACCCCAGGCTCAGGCTTCAGAAAAGATCCTTCCAGGACACAGAAACTCTCAGCGGCCCCATCCTCCTGCTGGGTGACCACTTGTCCCAGATGACAGCATGACTACCACTGGAAGCCATGGCTTCCACACGCGACCTCAGAACTGTGCTGAAACCTGTGAACCACAGCCTGCCTGCCCTTGGCCCCTGGCTAACTCCAGCCCCAGGGCTGCCCTCCAGACTCAGTCCAAGCACACCAAGGTCCGGTTTCACTGGGCATGCCTGAGACACCTGTGTGTACTCCATGCTGCTCCTGGACCTAAACCTTCTATCGGTGTCCTTTCCCACAGCCATTACTGACCACACATCTGAAGTTGTCCCTCGGAAGTGCTGGGAACAAACGCCATGTTCCACATGGTTCACCTATCTGGGCTTGTTGATTAAACAAAACTATAACCCAGCAGCACTCTCTTCGTGTGTGCTCTCTGAGCACAGCAAGGAGGGCTCTTCCACACACCCCAAAAGTACCTTCCTGTACCAACTTCTGACTGCAGTGGGAGCTGTGGAAGGGGAAGGGGGTGGGCGTCCAGCTCTGCCAAGTGCAGCTGCACAGGTTGCTCACAGTACAATTGCAGAGAACACCACCCACAGCAGGGCCGTCATACATCTATTCTGGCCACGTTGGCACAGATGGCAAAAAGTGTCATGAGGAAGGAGCAGACTCCTTTTCCTAGTTCATACAGAGATGGGGCCAGGTCAGTGGCTGCCACAGAGGATGGAAAGGATGTCTATACAGGAAACACATGGACCCCTGGGAGACACAACCCCAAATCCAAAGTCTCCTGGGAGCCTCAATTCAGAGATAATTATGGGTGTCCCTGCTTGCCCCTGTCCAACAGCCCCACTTTGTGCCTAGTAAAGAGCTGACTAAATACACAGGTAGCCGTTAGCAGCCTGGGGCCAGGCAGGAGAGCCATGGGGACCTAAGGTCTGCTACACGGCCTCTCACCCCTGTAATACGCCTGGAAGTGCTCCTGGTGTGTCTGCTTGGTGCTCACAGGTGGCCAAGCATCATGTGGCTTTTAGAGTGG